TAATCTCATATTATTTCCATCCGATATACTTGAAATATTAGATGGTGGATAGTAGACTCCGGAATTAGCCATCGGTATAGTTGGATTTTGTTGTGGATTCGATCCAATAGGATTATACATTGGATTTGAAGGAGAACCTATATTTTGTGGGTTCACTGGCTCACCCGTTCCATTGCCAGGATAATTGTTAAAGTATTGATTGTTATACGTTATATGCGTTGTTGTACCAGGATTGCTATTAGCCGCACTTTCGATACTTGGTCTAGACTCGTAATGATGATGAGGATTGATTAACCTATTTACACCAGCATTGATAGTTGAGAATACCAAAGCTTCCTTAATCATATCACCAAAACCTCTACCGCTACTTTGCTGGCCTGGAACCATTAATACTGTTTGTCCTGGTATGAAGGGTTGTGCTGCAGGTTGAGCAAGATATTGTCCTTGTTGTTGAGGATAGTGAACAGGTCCAGGTGTATAACCACCACCAGGTGCATAGTGATTATTCATTGGGTAGCCAGTTTGCATATTTGGATAGTGTGGAATACCAGGTTGTTGTGGATAATTATGTCCTTGCGGGTAACCCATTGAATGACCACCAAATGGTGATGACAAAGGTGGCATAAATGGAGTTGCAGGATTAGAATGAGGAGCTATTTGACTTGGGTGAGATATGGATGGATAAGACACTGAATGTGGTGGATATGAAGGATTATGAGGGTATGGAGGTTGTGAACCCAGATTGTTGTTGGGATATAGGTTTGGTTTAAAACCAATTGGAGCATTATTGTTAGGATAAACGTCTGGTTTAAACCCAATTGGAGCATTATTGTTAGGATAAATATTTGGTTTAAATCCAATTGGAGGTTGGTGTATAGGAATTCCAGTTCCTTGATTACCAGGTGCACCAGGAGGTCCAAAAGATGGTGCTTAGAGAAATAAAAACCACATTGAATTATTATAATTTAATAAATTATTCTTCACCGTCTGTATAAACAAATATATATATATTACCATGGGGTGGTGCAGATGAAAGAAGAGGCTTTGAATCGTGAACTGGTAAAATTGGAGCTGATGGTGCATAAGGCATTGGTGACTTTGCATTCGTGTTAAAACCTATGTTAGAAGTTGGATAATTTACCTCAGTTTCTAAAAAATCAAAATGAAGTATTTTAGAATAATATAAAAAAGAATAAATATACATAAAATTCGAATGACTCACTCGGTTTGGTTGCGCCCCCTCCTTCGCCATGTAAAAATGGTGTATTGACATCTTTATTTGATTGTGGATGTGTAACTGGACTTCCTAGAATATTAATATGTATGTAATATACTTATCGATCATCAACAAGATGTTTATAAACGCACATACGTGAAATTATCGCACTAATTAAAAAAAAATTTTGATCTCTGTACATTTAATCAACTATATCTTACTGTCGATATTTGTTGAATAAAGTAATGTTATGTATCAATTTATTATATGATACACATACCTCCAGTATGTCCAGTATTTAAAGGTTTTGAACCAAATGAAGTTGGAGCATTTCCTCCTGAAGGATGACTCACACTTGAAGGATATCCTCCTGAAGGATGGTATCCTCCTAAAGGATGACTTCCTCCTAATGGATGACTTCCTCCTAATGGATGACTTCCACTTGAAGGATGATGTCCTCCTAAAGAATGACTCCCACCTAAAGAATGATGTCCTCCGGAAGAATGACTCCCACCTGAAGGATGTCTACTCGAAGAAGATGAAGGCCTAGAAATTCGATGACTCGATGATAAGCGACTACTACTGCCGAAACGTGAAGAAGAAAATCTTTTTGCATTTGTGTAACCTGTTGAAGAGAATATGTAATATATGTATAATAAAATATAACATATAACATATAACATACAAAATATAACATATATATATATATATATTTTATTCCGATATTGAACATTAGTAAATATCACCGAGATAAGAAATATTAATAAACGAATAACACTTTTTGTGTATAGAAGAAACATAATTGGACATACATATGTGACCGCTCAAACACACAAATTTGATATTACACTTTAGAATTATATTAGGATGTATATGAATTTGTTAATAAACAATTGTAAGAATTAATATACTAACTTATGTCTATGAATCCAAAAAGAAGAAGTAAAAGAAGTATCCTTAGCCAAGTCATTTTAAATCGAGAACATACGACGACGTTTAAAATTACGATTAAAAATGATCTATCTCGTTTAACTCCGAACTTTCAAATAAACTGTGTGACGCGCTTATTTAAATCAAACTCCGCATTAAAAAATATATTTCTATGAATTAATGTAATCATGTGTAAATGAGAAAAATACAAATTCTCTTATCTGTGACCCCACAGAGATAATGTATGATGTTTTATAAATTATGATGATTTCTCATTAAACCGGCCGTTTGTATCGAATGTATGCATTCAACATCAAGTATACTAAATACTACGTTGATGAATATAACGTCATACGAGATAAGCCAAAACAAAGTCTAAAGCATTAAAGTGCAATAGTTGAAATGCTTGTTTTGATTATTATCACGTAAACTATACGTGTCTTGACAAAAATTAAGATTTATAAAATAAGTAATTAATATTAGTATACTTAATAACGAAAATAATTAAAATATTTACATCGACGAATTCTAAGTATTCCGGTTGTAGAAAATTGTTGACAACATCTAATCATATTTTTATTTTTATCAATTTCTTGTATTCAAAATTATCTTTGGGAGAAGAATGTAGGGGAAAATTTTCTTCATAATATAATCGATAATGAAAATTCGATATGGTAATTCGTAGTAACTTGTAAAGAATATTAGATAATCATTGATATGTGTTAGTATTAAGTCTGGAAAATATACGATTTATATAAATTATACATTATTATTATTATTCAACGCATATATATATAAATATAATATTGTTTCCTTATTTAAAAAAAAATATATATTATTTATATATTTATAAAGCCCAGTATGCACCATCACCAAATGCAAATAATATACATATACATATAAACATCTTTTTCGATAAAAGATAATAACTGATTCATTTTTGTGTGACATAATACTGAAAATATTGAGACAATCTAATATTTAATTATTTTCCTTAGCAATGTATCTATCAAGAATTTTTTCACTTGGATAATCTGGAACGGATAATTGACGAAATCCTTCATCATCGACGAAACATATTTCATGATCATCCTAAAATAAATCAAATTTGTTAATAATATAAAATAATGTTTAAAGAAAATATTACATTTTTGACAATAATAAAAAATTATATTTTCCGATTTACTTACTGGATCAGCAAGAATGATAACTCTAACTGAAGCTTTTCCTGGCGTATCTAAAGTTATCAAATCGGTCAATATTTTGTGTCCATTCTCCTTAATTTTTTTCTGTATTTCTGGTTGTTCAACCAATGGTACAGAAAATGCTATACGACCATATGCTTTTGCATGATCCACCGTAGTACCTAGTATATTGAATTTATAATTAAATAATATTTCAATTATATATATAAAAGGATATATATATAAAATAAAATTCTAAATAAATGTAAAAACGTTTACCTATATCTACAAATTCAAGTTTAGTTTGATCTTCGCTATAAGACATTAGAACTTTATTATCTTCTTGTTCGATTACCTTCATATTTAAAATATCCCTCCAATAAGCTATAGTATTTTGAAGATTTGAACTAGATAATGTTACTTTCTCTACTGGATCTGATTAGAAAAAATAATTCAATTATATACAAGAGAAGAGAAAATATAAATATAAATTGTCATCGTTATTAGTGTGTTACCTTTATCTTTGGGTTGTGGTTCATTAATAATATAATACTTGTAACCACCTGGTGCTTGCAAAACAAACTTTCCATTTTCTTCTTGGATAGGCCATCCATTGCTTTTTGCTCTATCGATTGCTTCTTTAGAACGAATAGTTATTCCACGAAAATCATTTCCACTTTGGTAATGAGAAATTCCATAATTATAAGTTAGTTCAACTACAAAATGATTATCTTCTGGTCCATATCCTATCATCGTTTTACTCCATCGATTTGCATATGGACTATAAATTATAATGTTCATTATAATTAATTATTAACATAAATAATATATAAATAAAAAAAAATTAATAGCAATTCATAAAAATAACCCATTACAAGCAGCCTCGCATCCATCAGCAAATTCTTCATGTCTTAATACCTAAAATTAAAATAATCAATCTTAAAACTATTGCACTTAATGATGCAATAACAAAAAATTGAGGAAAAATTAACCTTCATTCCAAGAATTTCTCTATAGAATTTCGCTGTTTGTTTGCGCTCAGCTATTTTAAATACAAAATGTAATGCACGACCACTAATCATTATGAAAATTATTAAGTATTTTTATTTTTAAGTAAAGAAAAGAAAATTATATTCCAAAATTGGCACAGTCCTTCAAAGGAATACACTTATGGTATATACCTTATACCCTGTTGATTTATTGCACATATATGTTGCAGTGATTAATCTAATTGCTAAGAAAATCAAGAATTAAATCCACATCACATTGTACGGATTTAAAGATTATCAGTCTTGCCAATATTTATTTTCCAAAACGATTAAATCCCTTTATGAATAGAAACAACTAAACAGTCATAGTGTTATTTGTTTTATTGTTAGTAAACACTGGGCAGTTGTATTAGGAACATTTGATAAATATAAGTAGGAAACAAAAATTTATAAATGTCACTTGGTGGTGGTCTTAATATTTTAAAAGCTTTAATATTAAAAAGGTGAAGGCGATTAAAAGAAAGTAATGTTTTAGTGAGTATTATTTTCGTATATTATTTCTCCATTTTTAAATGTCGTCTTCTCTTCATCTATAATTGTTTGTTTTTTTATTTAGTAATAAAATAACTACTTTTTTTTTACTAAAAGAAAATTGAAGTTTCGGTACAAAACAGAAAAAAATCTTAGTAAATATTTAAACTTTATTAATATCGGTACCCGATGTATTATTACCGAAATTTACACCCAAATTCACACCATTTATTTACACCCAAACTTTATTAATATTGCTATTCGAGATGTATCTATGTGATAAATAATAATTTAAGAAGAATAATTTTATTATATCTAGATTTAATAATAAATTAATCTTTAAATTTTGTGTGTCATTTCATTGGCTTTATTAACAGCAGCTTCAATAGCGTTCATCATAGATCCTCTGAAGATTATATGAAATGAATTTTTATAAATTATTATAGAATTTATATATATTCTATGATTCGTTAATAATATAATTTCGTTATGTACCTAACTTGACCGCATTCCATAGCATGAACTCCAGTAATAGTAGTTCCACCAGAAGAACAAACTTCATCTTTCAATTGACCTGGATGTCGTTCTGTTTCTAATACCATTTTACCAGCTCCTACAAGTACTTGAGCAGCAAATTTGATTGCCATTGCTCTCGGTACTCCCATTTTTACAGCACCATCCGCCATAGCTTCTATAATGAGATATGCCTGAAAATGTAATCTTATGAATCAACCATTAATACATTTTTCTACCATTTACATACATAAGCTGGGCCAGAACCCGACAAACCACTAATCGCATTCATCAGAGATTCGGGGACATCCTGACTAATACCAATGAATGAAAATAATGTGCCTATTAATTTAATATCCTCCTCCAGTGCGTTTTTACCACAGTAAACTAAAATTTATTAAATATATCAATTTATTATAGCTAAAGTTATGTATATAATAAAACATTTCTAAAGAACGACATACCTGTGATACCTTCTCCAATCACCATAGGCATATTTGGCATACATCTGATAATTCTAGGGTTTGAATCAATGGCAACGAGTTTCTAGAAAAATACCAATAAAAAATTCAATAGAAAACAAGAAGAAAAATAGAAAAATTACATTTTACTATATCTTACTTCTGCTAAAGTATCTAATGAAATTCCAGCAAGTACAGACACGTATAATTTATTGTGACATTTTTTTGCAAGTGTTTTCGTAACTCCATCAAGAGCTTCATTAAGCATTTGTGGTTTAACTGCTAAGAATACAACGTCACTGTTTTCTACAACTTCTCCATTTTTAAACGTATTATGAGTTCCAAGTTCTTTCCAAGCGGTAAGTGTTTTTTCAGTGCGACTGGATACCCAAACATTCTTAGGATCAATAATATCTATAAAAAAAGGTTTTCATTTATAATAATAAATTATTAAAATATATATATATTATATATATTTATTTATAAGACCTTTTAATATAAGACCTGCTCCAATAGCACTTGCCATATTACCACCTCCAATAAATCCAAGTTTAAGAGATTTAAAATTATATTGATCCATAGTTAATGTTATATTTAATATTTAAATTAACTTTGGTTTAAAAAATCTTGTGAAAAGAACTCTTACACCTGTCCAACGTATTCCAACAATTAATGTCTGCATAAACATATCACAAGTGTGAAATTTTAATTTTTCTTATAATTATTCTAATTGTTTAGTAATGTCAATCTATCTAGACCTAGTATATATGGACTGTGCAAGCCCTGTCTCTTCCTGTGTGGAACTAGTGAGGGTAGCAGAACTGATCTGAGAGAGAGAGAGAGAGAAAGAGAAAATAAAGGGCTCTTTTATTTCTCTCTTATGCACACTCGCGTCGATGTCAGAGAGGTTAAAAGTCAATAGTTCTCAAGTATATAAGAAATGAAAATTTTCCACGTAAACAGAGAAAGAACATAGTCTCTATATTCTCTGTCTCTCTGTTTTGCTGCCATCAATTTCAAGACGGTATACGGAATCCAGGTATACCAGGTCCATATCATAACACACGTCTGTTCACTGATTGGTGCACATTTAAATGAAAAAAGAAGTGGGGAAAAAAAACATTATTAAAAATATTAAATAAATTAATAAATACTTCAGATTTATTTATATATGTTAAATAATGACAATAGACGTTATATTATAGTAAATATAAGCTTCCAAATGCTTACATTTATCAAATTTGTGTAAGAAATGTTGGTACGATGACTTTGAATATTTAAAAACGTGTAGTGGTAATCCTGAGTAAAATGAAATTGAAAGGATATCAGCTTCAAATAAGTTATCTTGTAATTGTATAACCATGTTTTAGTGAAATGATTTATATCTTAAACATATAATAGTGAAATAAGTTTAACAAAATCTATTATAAAATGACCCTGTATCATTTTGGAAATTGTCTAGCATTGGTATATGTACCATATTATATGACTTATAAATATTCTGGTTTGTAAGTATATGTATATGTATATAAATATATTCATATATTTGTTTTTTAATTTATGTATTATATTATAAATGAAAACATATCTAATGTAATATATTATTTATAGATCAGAATATGGTGCATTTTGGAAATGCATTCAAGCTGGAGGTATTTACATCTTCACACAATTAGTAAAGATGTTAGCACTCGCTACTTTTTTTCCCACGGCAGATAGTGTCGGAGAAGAAGGTTTTGATTTATTTGGTGTACGCTATAATTTGATGTATTATAAAATTACTATTGCAGTAATAATTTGTAAATTATGTATTATAAATATATGCTTTACTTGTAGGAATTTCTCAAGTCTTCTATAGATTTAGCGGATTTAGTAGGAATCCTCTTAGTACTTAATGGCATCCCTGGTAAAGGTCATGCTAAAGTATTAACCGCTGGAATAGGTTGGGCAGGTGCAGAAGTTCTTCTCACAAGATTTCTGTTGTTATGGGTGGGTGCACGTGGTGCTGAGTTTGATTGGAAATATATACAAAGAAGTTTAGAATCTAATATTAATTTGGTAAGAGATTAATTTGCCGAATGTGATCAAGATAATAAGAATTTTTTAAGCCGTGTATGATATATATATGTATATACGTATATCTTTTCTAGGTTCAACATATAACTACAGCTACACTTGTATGGCTGTGGTCAAGACACGATTTAAAACGCAGCTTAGTTCCTATTGTTATCTGTATGCTTTTATTAACGGTATATAGGCCTCTTGTTCTAGATTGTTTAACATCACTTTTATTAGCTGGTGCTTGGTCAACGTTAGTTGTTAAAGCACTTACTACTTTGATTATGGGAGTTATAACTTTACACATTTATGCTGGATTAGCATATGCAATTGGAATCTTTTAAAAATAAAATATAGTTTGTAATATACTTAGTGTTATTTAATTTAATGAGTTTTACATTAAATAGCATATTTAGAAATGACCTCGTGTATTTCTTATCGGAATATTGCATATTTTTGTACATACATATATCCTGCTATTATATATTGCAAATTTTAATATACTATATGATGATATTTTATCTATGTTACTACATTATATAAATTACCTCAATTTCATCTTTTATGATTCTCTTTTTTATTATTTATTACGAGTATCACGAATAAGAGAGAATATTTGTATTAATTCACTTATATATTATTTTCTTTTATTTATATATATTAAACGCATAAGCAAAATTAATATTTGAATCTTGAGTGAATGATCATAAGAAGAAACTATTATTCATAATTTTTTAATGAGACATCATAGAAGATATTCAATTTATTATGTAAGTCTAAAAATAAAATGAAACTTGGTTGAAATTTATAACATTTATTAATTGAATATAATTCAAACAAATATTTTTTTAAATAGTAACAATCATATTTTATAATCTCAATGGAAAGAAAATAGATGTAATGTTTAGTTGTATTTTATTTTCATTAAAATAATTTGAAAGGTATTAGCTAAATAACTTCAAACAGCGTTGTCCAACTGGCAGCCCGCAAATTTATTTTTGCATGCTGTGAAGCAAATAAATTATTAAAAATAAAAATTTGGATTAACATTTATACCAAACTAAACGAATAATTAAAATAAAAAGAAACGTGTATCTACCCTTCTTTGGACTCCGAAATGTTTGCAAAAGAAAAAATAGCCTATGGACTAAAAGAAATTGGACAGCACTGGCTTAGAATATATAGGATGTTAGATATTTCCTGTACAAAAGTAGTGAGCAAATTCTATACTCAAAAATAAGAAATGAATATTATAACAATTTTAAATGTTGTATAACAATACATCATTTAAAATTTTATTCAAAAGTTATAACATAAATTGTAAAACTATATAAGTATAAACTAACTTTTTTCTTATTTTTGAGCATAAAATACGCTCACAATGTTTGTATGGAAAAACATCTAACACCCTGCATAATAAAATTGAGACATTTTTTTAACTAAATAAACATTGCTTAAATATTTCTATTATAATTTTTATTATACTTTTATCAATTATTATTATTTATTTTTAATTTCCCCTAAAATTGATAAAATCATTAAGATGCACAGTCAATTAATAATTTGTTATAAAAAATAAGTATATATATGCTATTTATACACATATGTACACCTGTATAAAAGGAGCTGTATACAAAGTTTCACAAATTGTTTTTAATGAAATCATTATATTTACAATTACTTATTATTAAATAAATAAGTTAAATGATTCCATTATAATTTGATCTTCCAAATTCTTTGTATATTTAAGATGGAACTGTCATAAGATTATTGATATTATTTAAAAAATATATTTTTTTCTTATATTTTATGTCAAGTATACATAACTGAACGTTTATAATTCTACTTAATATTATAGATTATTAAATTTATTAATATTACTCATTTACTTGTTAATTTTAATTATAACAAAAAGGAAAAGAAGAACCAATATTCGTGTCATCTAGATACCTAGATTATTTCTATAGCAGGTATATTTACAACATTTCTAACATTCAAGAATTATATTTAAAGCATATAAGTAAATAATATTCATCATTTTGGTAATTTTTAAGTAGTTTAGTAACTTACAATATTAAAATGTATAGGTTGAATTCGTCATAAGTTATAATTATTATCTTAATTGATATTACGTTTATAGAAGTATTCATGAACGTTTAATAATATTACAAAATACTATTTATTTAATTGCAACATATAACGGTCAATATTATTTTCAATAAAGGGAATGACACTATTTTATATTAACGATATTGATGATGAATTTGTTAAGTCTAAATCAAATTGTAAAGTATTTTTAACTTAGCAATTTATCAAATAAAATAAAATTACATATATATAAATACGGTAATTTTATGTAATTCTTATTAAGGAAATATTAAGGAAATATCAAGGAAATATCAAGGAAATAAAATTGCTTTAAGGTTATAAAAATACATTGCCTTAAAACACTAACTGTGTAGTAAATGATGATCCTTTGGATTCTTTTTGTTTTTTCTTCGAATTTGAAGATAATCACGATTACATTTTTCTCTTCTTATATGGGTTTCCAGAAACCTTCTATTGCAAAATTTCCTGGTACAAAAATTGCATTTAATCCAAGGATACTTACCTTTATGAGACGATATAATATGATGTTCTAAAGTTCTTGCATCACAATAGACCTTCTTACATAGTTTGCACCATGTTACAGTCTTGTGAGCATAACAATGCCAGCTATATGATTTTTTCTTGACCCTTTTTAAGCAAATATTACATGTTACTAACGTTTCAGTGTCTCCGTGTATATTTCTTGTATGACTACTTAAATGTTTTCGAGTTGGATGGGTCTTTTTACAGATGTGACATGGAAAGCCAAGACCATAATGATATCCTTCGTGTCTAAGTTTTGTTGCAGCTGATAATTTTTTACCACAAACGTTACATAAACATTTGCCATGTGCTCTTTGAAAATGTAATTGACATCCTGTACTACTAGGAAATTTTTTTGTGCATTCGTGACATTGATAAGGTAATTCTGGATCAAAATGTTGAAATTTAATATGTTGATCAAATTCATTTTTATTTCTTATGATAATGTGACAAAAAGGACAAGACATATCTATTTGTAATTCAGTAAACATTTTTCCCTCTTCCACATTACATCTGTGGTTATTGTATTCGCCAATAGTACTGAATCTTTCAGTACAAAAACCACATCTGAGAAATAATGGATGACATTTAGTTATATGCGCGTTGCAACTATTCACAGTTGAAAATAATTCACCGCAGGGACAGATGGTGTTCACATACGATGGTGTATTTATTAACTTTTGATTATTATATTTCATTTGGTTCTCCTTTCTTCTTTTTAGAATACTTATATTTTTTGTTATATTTATTAAATTTGGTTTTTTAGGTTTGATAGGATCACTAGTGTTATTTGCATTGATAGATCTTTTCTTTGCTTTTAAAATATTTGAATCATCTGCCGTTTCTGATTGTTCAGACATAATTGCCTCGCACAAATACGTAGGCACTACTTCAACATTTCCTTTTTCTTCCTGTATCTCAGAAATATGTATCTCTTCTTCGTCAATCTGTTTATTTTCTTCCCTGTCATTAACTACAAAATTCCTCGAATTTTCTTCTATATTAATATCAATGTTTTCATTAATCGTTTTTATTTTCAATATGCTGTGTTGTTCTGTGCTGTATTTAAAGGATTCAAGTATGTCCAGTGAATGATTTTCTTGAGATTTTTTAATACCTCCTTCCATAATTAATTCTGAAATGTTTGACAGTGTATCATGATCATGAGGATGGCCAGAATCCTTAGGTTTATTTTCATCGCTGCTATCTTTGCTAACTATTTCATAAGAATCGTTTTTTTTCTTTATTTTAATATTAATACCACTAGAGGAATCTCGATCAAGATTGTCTTCCGTAATGGAGTCTGTTTCGCTGTTATCTTTCAATTTACAACTATTTTTGTGTAATATTAAAGTATGGTAATTACGAAATGTTCTGCCACAAATACATGACCTATTAAGATTATTTGTACTTACTCTTCTTCTTCTTTTTCTTCTTCTCTTATTATTATTATTATTATTTTTGTTATTAGTATTAGATTTAGGATTTTGTAAATTGTCATTTTCCATAAAATCCAATAAAACCATTTTACTCTTTTCTTGATTTTGTAAAGCAGTTGACATTAATGTCCGTTTGTTATTTAATGGAGAATTTACGTAACGACAATTAAAAATATCAAAATTATCCTTAGTTTCACCACGCTTCCTATGAATACGCCTATGTTTAGAGAAACTACTACTGGCATATACTCCATAACATATGTCACATAGGAATCTTGACATTTTTTTTGACTGTAAATTCTGGGAATCATTTTCAACATTTGATGTTTCATTTTCATTCGATTTGACTTCGTTTGGATTCATTAATTGAAGCATCATTTTGTTATCATTTTCAGAATTCTCAGACGAGGTGATTGTATTAATCATTGCTTTCGTAAGATTCTGAAGATTAAGGTTTGAAGACTCTATCGCATTACTTTCTAATTCTTTGATAACAAGACCTGGACACCCAATTTTATGGTATTCAGTTAAATGCTTGCGCAAGCTTGTTATAGCGCGTTTACATAGCGGACATTTTCCGCGATAGGAATCATATTTTGTTTGGGTCATATCCTTATCTAAGACATTAATTTTCTTCTCAATAGGGCTACTATTTTCATTCATTCTTATGCTTGCAATTTTTGTAGTAAGATCGGAAGTAATATTTTCGCTACAAATTTCTTTGGGTTTTGGTTTACTGCGTATACGTTTAGGTGGTATATATATCCCATGTACTTTTTGCGAATGTGACCTAAGAGTTCGATTTTCGCTGTACTCTTTACCACATACATTGCAATGATATAATTTTTTAGTGCTCTTAACAGAGAATTTGAAATTTGGTAGTGCACTGTTGTTATTGCCCAGTATTGGTTGATATATAATATGTGGATCTTTTAAAGAAGAAGACATAGTACTAGTAATCATATTTTCTGACCCATTACTTTGTACATTTTTAATTAATTGGAGGGTTTTCCAAATTTTATCACATTTTTCAAGAAGAATAATTGGATCCTTTAATTTAACTGGGGTAACAATTGGTAAACTTAATGGACTCTGCAATAAAATACATATATTAAGAGAAAATGATTATAATTACAATAACATAAACAACACATAAGCAATATTCTAAAGCATATAATACAAAAGTTCGTTTTTCCTCAAATATTTATTTAATAATCATAAACGGGAATAAACAATCATCTCTTCGCTAGATCAATCGATCTTTATTTTAATCGCAAAAGTTCGTTATTATTTAAAAAATCAAATGAAAAGTTTTCCATCATTAAATCCAACACAAAGGAGTACCCAAAAGTTGAACGTCGAAAGTACAACCCTGGCGAGTTTATTTGATCCACGATTTTCTGATAGTTAATTTAACGCAAACATACTAGTAGTTAAATGCATAAGAATAAAAGAGACATCTTAATTAAGAGTGATCACAAGATTAGAATAGAAAAACTAAGTATAATGTACCTGTGAGGATTCGTAAGAGTCGCTAGCTGTTGGGGACAATGGTTCAACCTTCAGCATTGGTATATCCACATCTATCACAAGTCTTTCAGGCTGTTCTTCTTTGCTCTTGTCCTCATTATTGTTCCCATAATCATCCCACATAGCACCTTCGCCAAACATTTTAACCTAAAGTTTAATTAACCTTCCACGAATAATAATTAAAAGGGTAAAAACTTATGATCAATCGGAATTGAATCGTGAGTAAATCCCAAGCGACACGGATTACTAGTAGACATATTGCTTCTACCTCCCCACTCCACGACCACTTCTAACGTTCCTTCCTTCTCCGTTACGGGCAAGCACAGCTGCACAAAGCTTTTCCAACTGAAATCGCGATAACGATTTATTGTCTTCAGGTTATCCTTTTATTTCTTTCAATTCATTACTTTTTAGCATAAGCAGGCGCTTAGGAGTTCAATTATTTTAAGACTCTAACTAAATATCAATTCTAAATCAATAAAATTCAGGCTTTCCTTCCGTACGAAACACGCTTGGGTAGGAAGGTAACTGTTTTCTACCATATGTTGGGGTATAGTCCAACAACGTTTAGACGCGTGTGGGTAGGTACAGGACTGGCCCAAGTTATTCCTACGGTTCGTTCAACTCGGAATTATACTTGTGTCCGCCAATGCTATTAATATTTTTCTTGAATATCCTCTATAACCTAGTAATTTGATTTTACAAAACAGTCTTCTTTAGGCTAAATACGTTTCTTTTAGCGTAATAGTAGTTTTTCCAAGATTTTTCAGACTTCTTTTTACAAAAATCTGCAACACCTAAATGTCTTTAATATCTTCCCTCTGAAACCCACATGCACGATCGAACTAGGTTTTAAGGCTTACGGAACATCGATTGCGTTATCTGTAGGAATATTATAGCATTCCATTACATTATTTTTTCTCACTTGTTTGTAACGGTTGCATTTTAGTGTTCTAAGGTTAATAAAAACTGTTCATACGTAACGTTTCTTTTATCTCTACAAAAGCCATTTTCCTACGTTTTTCATGTTTTTCTAGCGTTGTATGTCTTTTAAACAAATTCCATCGCTATAACGATCGTTATCGAGACGACCGAGGAGCAGCATGCGCTGTATGACAGTCGCTAATTTCTACACATTCGATTAAATTACAGATTCTACTCTGACATCATGATACGAAGAATGATAAATTTCCATATGTTTCTATCGATGCAAATATATGTGCACGAAATCATATCCCGACGTTTGCAACATGCCATGAAAAGTTTAATCTCAACCTATAACAAAGATTCATTCGTAATATTAAAAAAAGACGTGGCCCTTATATTTAAGGCACGCATTGACGAGCAAAGAGATCAACATGAAATACCAATATTTGATAACAGTATTGAAGCTAACCGTTCTAATTTTATTGCTACAATCTTATCCTACAATAAACGTTGGAATTTTTCAAACAGTATTTCAAATTATCAATAAGTGTTAAGCTTCGGCAATAAATGATTACAAGAAAATAAACTGAACAAAACAAATGCATGTACGCAAGTTGTACAATAACTTAAAACAAAAGCCTTGCTAGGAAACAGAACAACAATGTACGCTGTATCATGAACACCCAAATAYACTACGGGTCTACAGAATTGATCCTCCGTTACTGTATCACGTGACGTGTCTCTCTACTAGCCATTAGAAATAGGCTGTTTGAGAGATTAAAAAGAACTTGAGGATACATTAGGTARTATAGGCGGATTCCGATCAATGAAAATATGAGAGTAAATATTGCATATCACCACACACACGGGCATGTCATGTTTATGACGAAATTCTAAATGAAAATCTATCGTCTGCCTATAAACCACGATTGTCAGAAATGCTTACGATCGTGCGCTATGGCTCCTATGCAACTCTAATGCAATTCTGGGCAAGATCATTTTTAGTCAATAAAAATCAAGTTAATCCYAGCACTTATTTTTCCTGGTAAATAAGACAATGCATCAATAAAATGYATCATGTAACATTRRCATAGTGCAACACTATCTTGCCTTTTCCATCTGGGAAAGATCCTATTACATCAGTATCACAATGGCCAAGGTCAATCATTCGCAAGAGTAACACGAACTTATTTTGATTATTGATAAAATTGCTAGGACTAACGATGTAATCGTAACATGCACGAAGTGTACTTCCGTTCGTACATTTATAAAGCTAAGGGAAAAAAACAACTATTGTTAATAAAAACGTCTTTTCTATCAAGTTAACATGCRGTTACCKATCTTTTTGCTGTTTCTATTGACGTACCAAAGTACTAATTCTAATGGCTCTTATAACGAAGGTCTAGTATCATGTGGTTAGAAWTGAGTTATTGAGGTTTTTTYGGAATCTTACATACCTTAAAATAATCGTTTTAAACGTTTAGAGTAATATCGTAAATCTGTAAAMTAGCTGAAAGTAGATGCACTTGAGTTTATACCATTGAATTATATGAATATTGTAGTACTATAGTAACTATTGAAATTAAGAAATGTGCTGTTATTATAATACCGAATCATGTGATGTAYTTTCTCAGAAAATACAGCCTTTCGAGGAGACTTAACACATGTTAAATTTGGCGAAGGTRTGCGAGAATGGTTTCGGAATTTACGGGATCGGCTGTTTGGAAGGAAGTTTGGTAGTAACAGTCCAGAAAACAAAGAAATAATGAATCCAAGCAATGCTGAAATACAGGATCGCGTTCATAACTATGGTGGATTCTTCGTAGATCTATGTGAGTTGCAATAACGACTTTGTTTTTCAATGGATATTGCGAAGATTCCTTTTACTATAATCATTTTAATATTTTCTGAATATTTGTAGCTAGAGTCAAATTTGATCCGAAATACGATATCGGATTTCGTATTGGTCATTGGTACTTTATWCGAATGGGARATAAACTCGATGAAGAGTTTGTTTATAACGATTCAAGSGAATGGGAYATGTCTTCATTAGTACCTGATCAAATAACGCATCAATTGTCCGACAACRATTGGTCAAATAATGATTATGACGAYACATTCAARACCACGACRCTGTTTCCATCAACYAMAGCAAATGCAGTTTTGATGGAAGAAACTACAATGGAAAGTGATATAATTGAAAATAYTACTACCRAAATATCTTTAGTACACATGAAAGACAATGATACTGAATCAGTAGGTGATTTAGCAGYTTCTGTTGAAGTTATATTCCCTTAATAAAGTACTCGCAAAATTGATGACATACATTAATCGGTTATTATTTTCTTACTATTTTTTAAACAATCAATTATATATGTATATAAAAAGAAATACATAAAAAATAACTTTTTCCATCAAGAAGTGCACAATTTTATTTCACAAATTTTATCATAATTATTACCATGTTAATGCTGATGTACAAATGAATTATAAAAATTTTTACGATGATGTTACCGGTATTATTGTGGCCTTCCTGATGTGTGGTAATGGATTCACTGGAAGATAAATAGTTGTATTAAGATTAAGCATTTGATAATAGTACTGGAAAAAGCTGGTCAGATTTTGCAATGGAATTATTGCATTTGAAATTATCGAATCTTGTTAAAGCCAAGCCAAGTGTGAAGTTAGGAAAAATAATTATTTCTTAATGTATGAGTGATATAGGAAGAAAATGCACGCAGTTAGAGTCAAGTCAGCATAACTAATTTTAATTAAGAAATTTGTATTTTTTCAAATAGAATTTGTATACTACTTTTATACTTCTAAATTGTCTAATAAGTGCGTTAGCAAGTAAGGAAAACAACAATCATTAATTATAAATAAAATTGAAAATACATTCTTTATATTTGCTTTTAGAATAAAGAATATGTTCCACACATTTAGCTATCTAATTATTATCTAGTGTGCTAAAAAATTGTGTTATAATACGGAAAATTTTTGATTGCATAAAATCAAAGCAATCAAAAATATGTACTTCAAACTAAATCAAACTATATCAAACTAAATCAAACAAAATCAAATACAAATAGAATCTATAATCTAATAAAACACAATAAAATTTTAAGTTACATGCTGACCATATATAAACATCAGAATAAGAGGCTATTCCTTCTCGAGGTTTGTAGTGCAAATTTTGAGAACATTTGTCTACTTCCTCCCCTAGAAAGTAAATAAAAAGCGTATTCAACCGTAGCATGCACGAAAGAGAATAAATGACTATATAAAAGACATCATTGCTTCGTAATATTAACTTAAAGAAAATATAACTTTACTAAAGAATTATATATCTCTGTTATATATTTTTGATCTGTTGTACTTGAGTGATATTAAAAACAAAAATTTAATTTTTTAAATTTAGAAAAGAAATAATTGCTAAGCCCATTGTTATTGTATAATATAAATAAGTACATGCAATAAAAGATAATTTTCCCTTAAAGATTCAATGTTTAAAATTATTTTATTCACATTAGCTTGAAGTTAAATATGTAATTTATTTTTTACCTTCTTAGATGCTGCTCCAACTTTACTTTTTTTAGTACCCCGAACTTTCTTCATTCTATTTTTACGTTCTTTACGTTGTTTTCGGGTTAGCTTTTGCTTTTCGTAAAGACCGTGCCTTGCTAACCTATGTTTTGGTTCAAATTTTTTAGCAAAATCTAAGGTATCATATATTAAAGCAAATCCGGTGGATTTGCCTCCACCAAAGTGTGTTAGAAATCCGAAAACAAATACAACATCCGGTGTTACTTTATACATTTTTGCTAATTTTTCTCTGATCTCTGTCTTACGTACAGAAGCTTGTCCAGGATGATGGACATCCACTACCTAAAATATGAATATAGGTAGTATAATTAAATAATATATTCTTATCTCAACATATAATGTGAAAGAGATAATTACTTCTGTGTAAATCTTACCATTTGTTTCCGGCATAATAGCCGATTGGTCATGAATTTTCGTGTACGGATCGTAGCTTCCGTCTGTAATAAAAAAAGKTAAAACATTTTTATTAGGTTATAATGTGCGTACACACATTATCTATATAAGATCATTTAATATTAGAGATATATYTTCTAATGAATGAAAAAAATACTGGAATCATTTGAATTTAGTCTTAATAAAACATAATAAAACACTTTTAATCAGCATTTAATGTCTATGAATGTTAACGTTTTTATTCATCCTGATCTTACACAGAAGTTAGAAATTCCTAATAATCTAAATACATTTTACATATAATATATGAAAAATCTAAGTAAATGAATATTACGGTCTCAAATTTTATTATAGCATAATTATGTTACGYTAGGATTAAACAATTATTTATGGATATTAAATACATACCATTTTGACAGAATATTCTTGGCAACCAAGATTATCACAAGGAAGATCATATCAGTGTACCAACATAAAAAAGATATTATACTGCAGCGTCGCGTGCGTAAGACTAATGAACTAGTAGAGCTGACAAATAGTGCATACGTCTTAAAGCTAAATAAAAATATTTTTATTATTAATTATTCTCTTATTTTTATATTAATTAAGCAGTTATTTAAACTTACAATTAGAACATAATTTTTTAGAACACTTTGCTCTTTAGTAATTACTACTGAAAATACTTCATTTTTTATATATGTATAGTAAATACAAAGTAGAATAAAGATAAAAGGTAAAAGTGGTCGAGTAAAAAAGTAAGACTGTAAGATGTATTACAAAGTTTTTGCTTTCGTTTGACATTATTTAATTTTTTAAATGCAAAGTGTTAATAATAGGTTCATCGAGTAGATCAAATATCTGTTAAGGCATTCGAGTAAATGTTAAAAAAAGCCTCACAGCAWCGTTTAGGGCATGATGAAAGAAGAGACTAAATGCCGAAGAGGCTAATGCCGAAGAGACCCCCACAAATTTGTGGTATCAAGTGGGCACCTACACAGACTATTGAGTTATTTTCAAAGGTTCAACAGCAAGTTCGAACTTTTCGAGAATAGCTCTCTAGTCATATTTTATTATATTACTTTTTTGCTCGTCATTAATTTGTAGTTGTAATTGGAGATGATGGACCATTCCATCTCCTTGGGACTCCAAATTCGTGTCTATATCGTCCAAAAGATGCATATTTGTTAGTTACTGTCAAAAATATTAAAATTTTCGTAATATTAAATTTGGAAGCTTAATTAACGTTCGGTAAATATTACAGTAATTTCTTTTTTCTTATTTCGTCTTTAAAATTTGTCATTTTTATCGTATTTTATTAAATTTGCAATTTTTCTTTTCTATATAATGCAGCTTAAAAGTATATTTCATAATAATAATATATTATTTTAGTACCGTGACATTATTTTTTGTAGTAACTTAATATTTGTACTTTTCCTATTTCTTTATTTTTATATATTTTGTGTAAATGTAAAATGACGCGTTTAAATTTAATTTCATTGCAACGATTAATATAGAGATTTGATAAAAATTCAATAGAAAAGTGCATCTCTGCGAACTGGACGTATGTATGTTAGGTTATTTTATCACTTGATTGTATGATTAATATAGTTTTCTTTTTGTTACAGGTGATCATTCTTGGATTTATCATCTACTCGTTTTGATTTTCTTCTACTTTTTAAAATATATATATGTATAAAAAACGCATTTCTGAAGGCACACACGTATTTAGACACTATAAATTGAATATATTTATTTTAAATTTTCTTACAATATAACTATATACTATATATATTATCAAAGAATATTTTATTCTTTGATAGTATTGTACCGTCATCGCGTTAAGTACATACTGTCGTCCAATACTGGTGGTCCCAGTGGTAACTAAAATGAAACTGGGTAGATAAAAAAGGGGACTTACAAACCGATTACAAATAAAATGATGTCATATTTTATGTATTCATATGTATAATTATGTATATATAATTATGTATAATTATATGTATAATTCACTTCTGTTTCTTCTCACACATTTTATTATTAAAACATTTTATTTACATTTGATCAAAATATAAACAAAAGTTGGACGTGTATTCTTAATAATAGTAATACCAATCATTACCATTAAGTATTATATGTAAGTATCATAAATGATGTAGACACAGAATTACACAAAACGAAACGTTTCTTTTTTGCCTTTTCTGAAATAATCATATAAACGATTAATTAATTAAATTTTTTTAGTTTTTTTTTTATATTTTACAAACCATTTATTATTTTTTTTCCAAATTCTCCATTACCGAAACATCCAACTAACGGCACTTTCGGAAACAATTCTTTAAATATAGTAGATTCTACATTAGGTTCCTCATACATATTCAAACCACGTAGACAACAAGCAAACATGAAACCTATGGAATGCCTCTTTAATTGTACACTTTCCTTAAAGGCTTTTAATTTGTCTTCAACCAATTTTTTGGTATCACATTTTTCATCCAAAAGTATAGTCCATGTTTTCATTTTTGTACCAATTATTGTGATAGCAACACAATTCGAAGTTTTTTTACATGTGCGTTTATCATTTTCAGTAGCACAAACTATTAGGTTTTTAGCAATACCACCCCAGATAGAAGCTTTTGAGTTACACAACCTATGTCAAACGATAAATTCTAGTTATTAAGAAATACAAATGCAATGCTTATGAATAATAAATTCTATAATAGAACTATTTAAGGTATTACCCATTTTTCAAAGCTTTCATTATATTTAACGCTATACCACGACCGTTCCAATCGCATAATAAAATCATACATTTTGTCTTACGGCAATCTTCGTTGTTAGAAGCTTGAAACATAGTTTTGAATTTATTGCTATATAATTCTTTTGTTCTTTTCCAATTGTAAACATTAAAAGTGTACATTGAAACATTAATGTTTGGTACTTCGGGAAAAAGCATGCATACAATGTTATCATTATCATCTTGAGTTTCTTCATTATTTATCACAGTACCATAACTATTCAACGATACCAAATCACAATCGTATGGTAAATAACCAGTATGACATCCTTAACAAATTAAATCCAAATACGTAGAATAAAAAAAGTAAAAGTATTTCACAAATTAATAAAGAATTAAATATACCTTGCGAAATAAAACTTTCGTTCCCAACAGAAAAATTGATACTTATGCTAGGTTTTATTCTTACACAATCTATAAGTTTTTTATTATAATTATTGCCACTAGACGTTATATATTTCATATCCTTTGCCCTTCTGATAAAACATGATGGGCCTCTTGTTCTTTTTTCATGGTTTGCTACATCAGACCAAGATCTAAAATTGCACAAAATACTTTAACCTGTACAACGCGTATCTTATAAATAAACTTTTCATATAATCTCTCCACTTAATAAAATAAGTATTGTTAATCATTAACATATTTTATACCAAATTATATATATATATATACATTATTAATATTAGGTCTGATAATAATCTTCACACGTTTGTGATATAAAAAGAAAATATTTGGTTATTGTAATCATACCTGCAAACCTGGGATGCACTAGACAAATCATAATAATTTAAATATTTAAAAATAATGTGTAAGACGTCACAGTTTAAATTTTGCCATGATTTGCAAATTTCTTTATTATCCGTCGTACTTTCATCTTCTGTTTTTTCTTTACTTTCTTCAATACGATGTTTTTTACGTATTTGCTCCATTAACTATAATATTCAATATAGAAGTATATTTCAATTAATTGATTAAACAAATATTGTTAACAGTATGACATCAAAGGAATGAAAAAGTTTTTCTCTTATTATTTAATAAGTGAATGAAAATTAATTAAACTTGAATTTTAATATATAACTTGAAACGAGTAAATAAACTGTATGAAGATATAAATCTACTATTCTACAAAGCATCACCACAAATATTACCGGCATAAACGTAACTAAAAGTAGATTCGCAAATCACTATTAAATTCAACGTTCGATTATTGGTCTCTTTTGGACAAAAATTATTAATTATAAAAGCATAGTAATGTGTTGAAGTAACGATTGTTAATAATTCACGTATTATTCTAAGTAGTTCATCAATTATTTTATTAACTACAAAGAATTTAACAATGAGAAAATTTCAATCATTGATTAAAAATAATCTCTAGACTAATACTTTTCATTCTACTATAGCAAAAGTCATTAACTAATTACACCGTAAATATTATTATTAATTCATTTTCCAATGATATTAAAAATAAAATAAAAATTACATTATTAACAATACCAATTAAATTGTTGATTGAATCTTAAAATATAATATTTGACAGTTCATTCCTTATTTCAATATTATATACTTTATCATATAAATGACAATGAAATATCTTAGAAGTTTATGTATAGATATATGAAACTATTTTAGTTATATTTAACTTATAATATCCTCCTCAGATAAATATAATTGTCTACAAACGTCAGTTATAGGTATATCGAAAACAGGTGGTACACCACCAGGAGTAGTTTCTTTTCTACATTGAGCATAATTATCTGTAATAGTTCTAATATCATCAATGTCAGGAGTCATTAATAAATTCATAGCAGGATAAATGATAAATGCAAATGTAGCAAGGGCTGTTAAAGCCCAAACAGGAATTGCAATGGCCCAATATTTAGATGGATAGTACGATAAACCTAAGTAATCTTTTAATATGTAATCAGGTACTATAGACCATATTAGATACAGTAAAAAAAATAAATTTGATCCTATATACATAGCGTAACCATAAACAGCTCTAGGCGCATATGGTGCAGGTGTATGCTCCATGTTTTTTTTTTTCTATATGGGCAGATAAATAACATTTATATTTCTCAAAAATATCTTAGTAATTAATAATAATTATACGTAGATTCTGGTGGTCCAAATTGTTGTATAGTTTCTGTAACTAAAGTTAAACTGTCAAAAAAAGATGTTACACCAACACGAACTTTACGTATTTCTGTACCAGAAAATGATCTAAAATAATAAAAATAATAATATTATTATCAATAAATTTAATAGTTAGAATATAAAATTAAATAATTGATATATACACTTACACTAATAAGAGATTATCTTTATGTTTTATGTTCTTACTAACACCAGATCTTGGAGGTTCCTTGTCTACTTTAAGAACTTGATAAACAACATCCGCTTCTCTTGCCGTTGCAAATGGTATCGTGAATTCTCTGTTGAATATTTATATTATAAATATTATATATTTATTTATCGTTTCAATATAATTAATAATCATATATAAATTACGTACACTTTAAAATCATTCATTGCAAGTGCTGTTTACACAATTGAAATAAACAATAAATTAAAGATGGCAGGAAGATCATGTGTTTATCTTCAAGGCAAGTTTTTAATGGATTCTGTTGTACCATGTAATACCACCCTTAAATAAGACCATATTACTAGGTGTTCAAACTACTGCCTGAAAAAACGTATTCCGAGTGGTGGTTCGAATATAAATAGATAAAATATTTTCTCTACGAGCACTTTGAACTTGTTCTCTAAAAGTAAGCTGTTGTATTTATTGACCATAACTAAAAAACATAACCAAACAACAGGGTAATCCAAAAAACTCAATAACAAATCTCTGTAGCAATATAATTTTACTACAAAGAGACTAGATACGAATTTGTATCAAAAAAATATAAAACAAAATGGGACGTAGGAAAAGTAAACGAAAGCCACCAAGTAAAAAAAAGGCTATACAGCCATTGGATACACAATTTAATTGTCCTTTTTGTAATCATGAAAAATCATGTGAAGTTAAAATGTAAGTAAGATTATTATCATTGTAATTAATATTAATATCAAGTAGTTTTATTATCTTACAAACTATTTTTATTCATCTTTAGGGATAAATCTCGGAGTACGGCAAGGATAACGTGCAGAGTCTGTTTAGAAGATTTTCAAACAACGATAAATCTTCTATCGGAACCATTAGATGTATATAATGATTGGATAGATGCATGTGAAAGTGCTAATTAAAATATTTTTATTATCATATATAAGAAAACTGTTAATTCATATCTTTCAATTTATAAAATGAATATATTTATATTGCATTATATTTTCATTCGCAATCATATTTATTAGAAAGTATTAGCATTACATGCTTCAGTATTTTTTTTAGTTTTATAATTGTTATATTATGTACAATGTAAATATTAAATATTATTTTTATTCTAATAAGTACCTTTTTTTTTGCAATATAGTTAAATAATCTTGTATTATTTTGTTGATTATATAGAAATAACAATTACTTAAATATATATTGTAAAATGGATAAGAATAAATCATATATTTATATATATTTGATATATTTAAAGAAAATATATTCATATATTTGAAGAAAAAATGTAAAATGAAATATAAGAAAATGTTACATATGTTTCTTACTAAATCTTATTTAATCGTTGAAGGAACAGAAAAATAGTTAAAAATTTCGGCAATTAGTTATTTTTTTCTTTTCTCAAAATCGAAAGAACACCAATGCACCAATTTAATTTTCATACGAAGTAAAAATGAAACGCAAAAATATGTTAAGTAATGGAGAAACAAAAGATGAAAAGAGACGGAAAGAAAGAAGGAGGGAGAGAGAGAGAATTAAAAAAGAAAAAAAAATATGTTAGAAATGTAAGAGGAATGAAGGGGCATGATACTCTCTTGATAGCTCTCTCTCCATAGAATGATGGTATTCTGGCGCAGTCAAGATGGCGTTCGATCGAGAGGAATAAGCTCACTAGAAAAAGTATGTGGAAAAAAATGCCGCGTAAAGGCAAGAGCGACGCGTGTGAACGTGCTTGAAGTATCACTTTTGTCGTTTAAAGATTTCGATAACCTCGTGATCGTCCGCCATCCGGGCGGGCCGAATTTTAAAATGCCGACGTGGAAGAGCTCGAACGTAATTAGACGGGATACCAGATTCGTTTGCTGATTCTCAAACGCGTTTGCCGGAGAACCGCGATCGTCGAGAGAGCGGCGAACAACGACGCTATGGCGTCCATCGGAACCGTGTATGTGTGTGTCAATAATTTTTCATCTACAATTAACGACTAATTAGAATGGTCGCTTCTTAACTCACGAAACAGCAGCAGGATCGTAAGAGATTTTCATTTACATCGATCATTATACAAAGGGATTACTTGATATTTCTTAAGCAAGCTGTTCGCTCGAAAAATACAAAAACACTTTTATTAACTGCCCTCGCTTTCATTCCCTTCTACCACACGTTTGACAGTTCTTTAGATATCCATTTATTCCACTTAAAACAATGAATGTCTTATCGCGTATAAAATTTCGATAATATTCGTGTAGAATTTGTTCTATATCTTTTGTAAAGATAATCTAACCCCCAATATCAGGGTTCATAAACTGTTTGCTTGTTCCCGAACTTCGCTCGCGAGGGACAAAGTATTTAACGAGCGTGTTCCACTAGACACTTTTCTAAACTGATCTAAACACATTCATTTACTGATTGATAGAAATAAGTTATTGCCAAATAGTGATAGTAAAATATTATTATTCTATTTACTATTTTTTTTTAGAATAGTTTGTATATTAGAATATTGTAATTTTTTTTCTCTCCCAATATTATATATACAATATGTAGTGATTTATCTACAACGTTTCATGGAAAAGAATAAATATTTGTACGATATCAAGAGTTAAGTATATAGTAATAGAGACCATAGAAAGTATGTATTATTACAGGTATAAGGGAATAGAAAATTATGAATGAACAATGTAAGAGACAAATATAAACATCACGGTTGTCACAGTGTTGTGTACAAAAGTGTTAAGACATTCCATGATTTGGTATGATATTTTGAGGGGATATATATATATATATCCTGATTTACTAGATTTTGCACATCATGTCTAATAGTTTGGACAGCTTTTTAACGCGTATTGGGGATGTCACTATTGAACGTGTGACACCTCGTGGGGGCCCTAAATCTAATGAAGCAACAGTTCAGAATGAACCTTCGACAAATACAAATATGAATAATACAGAACCACAGACGGCTAACGAGGAGAGCTCCGAAGAGTCCAGCGGGGAATCATCTGACGGGGAGCAAGAAAAGAAGCATGGTAGCTTGCATACGGAAGAAATAGAAGAAATACGTTCAGAAGGTTCAGGGGACGACATGGATCTGGACGAAACAATTGATTCTCAAATCGGTGTGAGGGTGGATTCTGAGAGGCAAAGTCATTGTCCACCCGAAGAAGATGACGAAGAACCAGTTAATATTTTGGATACTTTACCATTGGAAGGTTTGTATCGAACAACTTTCTTAGTGATAATAATTGCAAAGTACTGTATATTGAAATATATATTAATTCTCTGATTCTATTGTAAATAAAGGGGCACCTATTGAAGGGCAAGAGGTATCTGAAGCTGACTTACTTGGAAAACCAATTTCCAAAGATACAGATGATGAAAGTATGGACAATGAGAAAGCAGGATCTCATTCTGGAGGAGAGGATGAGGCGGATGGTAACAAGAGACACTTGGATTCTGAACATTCAGAGAATGTTAAAAAGAAACAGAAAAAAGAGGATGGTACTGAGGAATCTACGTCGGAATGTGAAACAAAAGCGGAAAAGAAATTAGCAAATATGAGAAGAAATATCCGTGAAGTTATGGATGAAACTCAACTCGATGAAGCTACATTATCAGCTCAACGACAAGAAATGGAACGTTTGCGACGAGTACAAGAACAACAGAGGTTAATTCGGGAAGTACAACGCCAAATGGTAATTAATCGTCAAAATAATAAAACGCAAACGAGAGTAATTAGTCTCCTGCATGGTAAACAAAATCAGACAGGAACTACAATTTCACAATCATCCTCTTCATCGTTGTCTTCTCCATCTACTCAAGTTCGTTTACCTAATACTGTACTATTGAAAGTAAATTCAAGTTCAGGAACTGGATCTCAAACGACTTCTAATATACAATCTGGACAAATTCAAAGAAAATCCATGGAAGGAACACGTTGGCAAAAGGGTAGAGGTGTCTATCAAAATGCTCAGACGTCTATCTCAAGAGTTCCAAATCGTTCTGTTGGTCCAAATATGTTACAACAAAGAATAAGAATGATGACACCTTCTGTAAGCATCTCACCTGTGGTTCCTAAAAAGGAACCCCTCGATAGACCAGAATATTATTCTGATTCTGATGTATCTGATATTGAAGCAGAAGAAGCACTACGTGAGAAACATATGCATCTGGCGAGAAAAATGTCAGGTATTCCTAAATCTCAAAAAGTAGCTAAAGGTAAAGATGTAGTAACGATATCTAGTTCCAGCGAAAGCTCGGACGATGATTGCATAGTACTAAGTGATCCCAGTGGAGAAGAGGAAACTGACAATGAAGATGATCCATCTAATTCAGGCATGCATACAAATGATAGATACAACATTCCAGATGAACATGGTAGAGTCTTAATCAATGTAGGGCATCCTGAGACAGAGCCAGATGTTTTCTTAGCTCCACAGGTGGCACGTATTATTAAACCACATCAAATCGGTGGTATACGTTTTTTGTACGATAATATTGTTGAAAGCATTGAAAGGTACAAAACCAGTTCTGGATTTGGATGTATATTGGCTCATAGTATGGGTTTGGGTAAAACACTTCAAGTAGCTAGTTTTTGTGACATTTTTTTTCGGTGCACCACTGCCAAGACTGTGCTTTGCATTATGCCTATTAATACTTTACAAAACTGGTTGGCTGAATTTAATATGTGGTTACCATATGAAGATCCTACATCCATGGAAAAGAATAATAAATTTACAAATGTAAAATCGGAATCTGAAATAGAATCTAAGTCAGAAATTAAAGAGGAATGTGGTAGCCAAAGTGATATGTCAAACATATCCAGGCCTATAAGTACAGAGTCTGCTCATCGTTATGGACAAGAAAATGTACCACAGTCTTTGAATATTATACGAGAAAATCCATATACTCATCAAGTATATGAAAATCATGTGATGTCGAATTATGTACAAGACAATATTTTAAACAAAACGATACCAGATCATCATGCACGCATGAACGCAAATTATCCTGGTGACATTTCACAATCTTCAATATATAATACTAATCCAAATTCCATGCCTAATTTCGATCCCATGAAACCAGAATTAAATTGTCATGCTATGCAAGGTAGACCAAATATACCTCCACCAAATATACCATCATTGAATATACCACCACCTAATTTACCTCCATCCAATTTACCTCCACCCAATTTACCTCCACCCAATTTAGCTCCACCTAAATTTGGTATGGAAAATCCAAATTCTAATATGTACGCCAATATGGAAAATCTATCACAAGGAACAATGTACTCAGATATGGAGAATAGAACTTCTGGGCCTATGTATTCCAATAATCATCAGTCCGGACCAATGTATCCTAATTACAATAATCCTTCAAATACTTTTCCCAATTATACAAATCAACCACGTCAAGATTTGGATCATGAGCCAAAGAAAGAAGAGAATATTTTACATCAAAATGCAGAAGTTAATGTTAAGAGAGAACCAGAAGAAACAATAAAAAAAGAAGAAGGTGCGACGACTAAAGAAGAAATGGCAGAAGATAAAAAGAATATAGAAAAAGTCAAAACATCCTATACGGTGGATTCTCCTATTGGTATGGAATTAAGACCAAGACATTTCCGTTTACATATTTTAAACGACTCACACAAAACTATGACAGCAAGGGCTAAAGTTATTCAAGAATGGCAAACAGGAGGTGGTGTTTTGTTAATTGGATATGAATTATATAGACAGTTATCTATGAAAAAGCCAAACAAAGCAAAGCGAAAACGTGGTCAGCCCTTTAAAGATACGGTCGATGTAGAAGAGGAAGACAAAAATAAAGGTTTGCTGGATGAGATGCATACTGCATTAGTTAGTCCTGGACCAGACTTAGTTATTTGTGACGAAGGCCATCGCATTAAAAATTCTCATGCTAGTATTAGTATGGCTCTAAAACAAATGCGTACAAAACGAAGAATTGTATTAACTGGTTATCCATTACAAAATAATCTTCTTGAATATTGGTGTATGGTTGACTTTGTAAGACCTAATTATTTAGGAACTAAAAGTGAATTTTGTAATATGTTTGAAAGGCCAATTCAAAATGGTCAGTGCATCGATTCAACGCCGCAAGA